AGGTAGGTATGTATGTATGTATGTAGCCGGTGAACGCTACAGGATACAGCTTGCCTTTGAGATCCAACCACCGGTGCACTGCCAACGATGTATTAAATGCGGACTGTACCCGCGGAACGTTGCATGGTTCAGTGACCTCCCAGCCTTATAGCGAAGACAAACTTGGCCGAGAAGCCCGACTTTCAGAAACTGGAGAGCTCAATTGCCGTTGAAGAAACTGTTTTAGAAATCGACGGTACCCGCAGCAGTTCGGAAATCGAAGGGGTCTCTTCATCGCAAATAGCCTGCATTAGCATTAGCCTGCTTCTGATCCAGCGCATTTCTGGAAGAATACATTTAAATCGCTACAAGACCAGCAGCCGGAGGACGTCGTAAAAAAAAAAAAAAAAAAAAAAAGCTCCAGGGATACATTTTCCAAGACTACACTTTAAGTATGACCTGATTCCGAAACCCGCACGTGTGATATTACGCGAAGTTAGAGCATGTCCTAACGTGTCTCGCCTTCTCTATTTTCCTTCTCCATATCCTTGGCCAGGCAGCAGAGGCTTCCAGCATCAAGCAGAAACCAGGGTGACTACTCTCAATCAGTCAATGTTGGGGTGAGTACATAAGTCTGCCAAGCGTCATAGGCAAACTCGCTATCAGGTGGCATTTCAGAAGACACGACATGCTGCGGACCTGAGCGAATACATGCCCAACCCGGCCAAGCAAACCTTCGGTTGCCTTCGCTCCTTTCGTCGTTCCCGAACATGTGCAAATGGTCTGTGATGCTCACCAGCATAAGGCTCTGACACGATGTGCCAACCGAAAAGGAAGTGAAGCACCACCTGCATAATGAGACACGCAAGCATGAGTTTTGCACAGCCTCGATTGATTAAAGTGGCCACTTCTGTCCCTGGCACGTCACTCCGGTTGAAGATATGCGAACCCACGCGGTGACCAGATCATGCCCACTGCGCGCTGTCCTGACCCCTTGTACGCATGAACGCTCAAGTCCACTGTTGGTGAGGAGGGAATAGGTTTGAACCCTCTCCACTGGATGCACCTGGATAGGGATCGGTTGGGGACTTGTCGCTGCTCGCCACCTGCAGGCTTGCACAACAGCAGCTATCACTCGCCGGAGTTGCAGTGACTAACCACGTGTGTTTCTGGCCAAGCCACCGTGCCGCCTTTGCACCAGGACAGCCACAGCCAATGCACTCAGGCCTTGCCGGCTTGGCTCACGCAGATCTCTTGGACAGACGGGAGGCAATGGATGTGTGGGCATGCATGACGGTGAGATCTGCACAGGGGTGAGAAGTACATTTTATTGAAAATCTTCTGGCTACATTGATGGAAGCCAAGATTCTCAACAGAAATGCCACCGGCAAAAACCTGCCCAGGGCAGACACTGCAAATCGCAGAATGAAGTCAGACAAAAGCGGAATGCGATCTCAGCCACTGCAGTTTGGTCAACGTCAGACTTTCTCCTTGAGACTGGCGCCTCATACGACGCACCATGGCTCCGAAAGACCTTTTCTTGCTGATCGACACCTTGCATACATGTGCACACACAGCAAATGTCGTTAACTCGCACAGATGCTGCACTGCCGGCAGGTGCCCAAGCTTTCCGGTTGAGACGTCGTCGCCAAGTAAGGTTGTCGCTGCACATATCACTATTGCAGCGAAGCTTCTGTACGGAAAACGGAGGCCATGGCCTGAGAAGCACATTGCAGACAGCACAGGAGACTGCCACTTTGCCTGTCCAAAGCCCGATTCCAGAATTCAAGCAAAAGAGAAGAGGGGCGCATTGGTGCAGCAGTTTTCGCTGGTCCCCATCGCGCTTGTATCACTGCGCCTTTCCTATCGCAATCAGGCCCTACGCCGTAAGCCTCCGCCTCTCCGAGTCTTGACGAGTCCTATTCCTTGGGATGGAAGTTGGAAAACCGAGCCAATAAGGTGAATCAGAACGTTGGCCTGGCGACTGGCGGCACTTCCAACCGGGCCCCACTCCAAGAATCTCGGCCCAGCTGCGCTCGCTATGGCCGAAGCGCTGACCTGGATGTTCTTTGGCGAACCACGGGGAATCTGTCTAGATTGGGGGCTTGCTGTGCTTGCGTGTTGGCATAACTTCAACAAAGGTATGCGAGAGCGGCCTGTAGATCACAAACCCTTGGGTGAGAGACCTAGAGACCTTGCGGCTATTTCCAAGGCTTAGTACCTGCTCCACGTTAACACTGATTTTCAAATTCATCACCTTGCCAGACAGGTGTGCTGCGATGTCTGGATGCCTGACCGGCGGCAGAACTAAATTGTCTGCTGAGCCCCAGACAGCAAGGTAATGAAGGCAGCTCAGAGCCAGATTCGCGGCCGAATGCTGTGCAGGATGTCCGTTGCAAGAGGCTTTACTAGTACCATGTGCTTGCTTGCCTATGCTACCGAAACTCTAAGGACTCTAAGTAGCATCGCCTGAATGGACAAGAGAGAGCCTTAGCTCAGCCAGCCCTCAATATGTGCAAAAGCCAGAAAAACCTGCGGATACATGCGGCCACTGGCAAGCCATGCCGCCTGAGCATGTCGAAATCCAGGGGCACTGGCCAGGAAAGCATCGCAACAACAGCAACCACTCGTAAAGAACGGAGCGCTGGACAACAGCGAAGCACACACCCGGCCCCCCAGATCATTGCACTGAATCTGCATGAACGTCCGCATCTCGCGACGACACCCGGCCTGCCAGAAGCCACGATTCTGACCTCAAGCTGCTACCGCAACACAGTAGCCGTCTCTGGTCGCTGAGACGCTTCGACTTGACCGCTCCATAATACACCCACAGCCTAGCGGCGCGGAATGTCGACAAACTCCCTGCAATTCGGACGAACCGTTGGGGGTTCGGGCACACTTTCGGGCACGGCCTACGTAAGCAGCTGCAAAGCTGGCCCTGGGCTCAGGCCGGCGACAGCGACCGAGCTATGGTAGGGATCTGGCCCTGCAAGCCACATGCGGTCGACCCCCCGGCAGAGAAGTCTTGAATGACAAACCCTGCGTGGCAGAAGAGAGGGACCCCAGAGGAACTCCCCCTTCGCTGGGAGTCCTTGGCTCGAAAGCCCCGTGCCCAACTCCGGAGAGTCTGCATGCCGGCCAACTCCAGGAGACTATCCCGAGAGCAAGCAGCCCCCCAACCACCAATCGTGCGACCTATGTACCAGTCTACCACACTGTGCCTTGTTTTTGCAAAAAATGCAAAGGGAACATGACAGTCACAAGCAGACATCAGCAACACCCGTAATGCGTCCAGCCTTGTTCAATTGGACCCGCGCGGTGGCATTACGACACGCCTGTGGGAAGGGTAAGGTGCTTCGGCACTCATGTGCGAAGATTGGAAGGCGAAGAGAAGCTTCACGCCCCAAATGTACTTGCCCATATTGGAATGCACCGGCTGTCTCCATGTATTGTTATGTCACCAAAGCATTTACTTACCTTACACAACGCCTCGACGCCTCTCATTGAGTAACCCAAACCATACATGCGGCAGACCGACGACTCCGCAACAAGTTCTGGCTGCTTTACAAGGTCTCCAACAAACTCGAGAGACACAGCCAGCTCTGACTTGCAACGCGCATCAAGCATGGTCCTCCTGATCTTGTGGACGAGGTACCGGCCTTGTTCTATCATGCTCAAAGCAGGTATGACAGAATCTTTGGGCTCACGAGGGGCGTGTGCGCAATGCAACCGAACCAGTCCAGCACCATGACAAGCACACGTTCTTCCTCGCAGAGTTCTAACGGTAAAAAATGTCTCGGCAGCCCCGTAGAACATGCCTGCTGGTCTCCATCACACCCAAACCTTCTCGTCGCTCATTGCTATGTCAGCTTCTGAAGTTTGTGTTATTCAAGGCTATCGTTGGCAGCACCACCGTGGGCTCCATCATTCTTGTCGCTGAGTGAAACTACGAACTGCCGACATCTGCCAGCAGGACGGTAGCAGGCTCCTGGTTCGTGCCATCCACCCACGTCCCTGAGAAGCCGATTGCTAGTTACCTACAACCTCAAGGGCGCCTAGTTGACTCTATGTGATCTCGGGCCGATTGCAAACAGCCTTCAAGTGAAGTACTTTGCTGGGCCTGAGATGCTATGTCAGCTATGTGTGGACCGACTTCAGTGGATGAGCAGAATCAGCTCAGCCGCACCGCTATAAAACCTACTTTGCAGGTGCACTAGCTTTGAAACTTGCCGGCAGCCCAGCCAGCGCCATTCATCAGCAGGCTGGTGTTCGTAGCAATCAGATCCATCGCATGCATCCCATGCCCTATCTTTCTCAGTTACCAACATACTTGTAGCTCCGACAGCTCCCTACGGCAACAAGCGGGCGGTTTAGATAAGTACACCTTCGGGATATCGTCTCGCTGCTTCGATGAATGGCTGTGGCACAAAGCTATCGGCGGAACTGGTAGGGGTGATTCTCACACCAAGCCGGACTACTAAATATTCATTCGGCTTATTGTGGGCATCGACCTCCTCTCTTGCAGGGTGGGAAGCTGAGAGCTTACCGCGGTCAACGACATCTCCCAGCTTCGAACCTGTCGTGTCAGAAATGCTGCGCTGATTTACCTGACATTCTTCCCGTCTGGTATCTGGGAAGTCCCCACCCAGATTAAGCCCGCAACTCCGTTACAACGTTGTGACATGTTGCTACCCTGGCCGCACACGAAGGCCTGGGCGCTGGGACCTCCAACGCCACATCACTACATGTGACCGATGAGGTTCTTCGTAAACCGTATGCTCAAGCGGGTCGGTCCGGGAACTTTCCAGCATGGAAGCCGCAATTGCCGGATAGCCGAGGCGAGCCATGGCTAGAACAAAGTACCGGAAGACTGCAGCCTCAAACCTGCACACCCTTCCGAGACATGTCGCATGATGTCGCTATATACGAGGTGAGGGCAGTGCCTCGGCGCCTCGGCTCTGGATTCCGAGCTCTTGCTGCTGAAAAAACTTCGAAAAATGCTTAACTTATTTGTTCCGATTCGCAGCATCTCTCAGAAAGCAAGTTGGAGATCCTCTCTTCCAACGCCTGCGTGTCAAGACGGAAAAAGGTGATGGTCGGGACATCTTTACGACGTCAGGCCCTGCAAAGGCCTCGAGATCCGCGGTCAGGAGAAGTGTTTTTTGTAGAGTTCCCTGGACAAGCGGTTCTCCTGCACAGGTTGCTCGAAACCATGCTGGTCTGCAGAAGTGAATGGACTGACCTTGATCCACTTCTCCAATTGGTCCATCATGGGAAGTGCTTCTGCCTCAGCAAAGCTGCTGTTGCTGGAGCGTTTCCTAGATCCGACGACAGACATGCGCAACATGTACCCTGAACAGTGCCAGCCATCCCAGACTGAGGGCTGCATACTCAAGGAATTTAAACACCAGAGACCGTCGCCACCAAAACTCGGTGAAAAGGGGAACGCTTTTTACCTGTTGCGGCGTGGCCAGCTTTCACAACACTCGCCGGTATGGGTCAAGGCTGGACAGTGGGGCAGTAGGGGTGCGGGGCAGGTGAGGCAGGTTCAGTAGGGGCTCAAAGTGAACGCCCAGGCACTGTCGCTCCCGGTGCCGCTTCAGATATCCAGCGGTGAGTCTGGGCACCCTCCGCCGTGAGGCGGAGGTGTATATCCTTCCTTAGTGCAAGACTTCGGCGAAAGCTAGGCAGCCCGGAGAAGGAACCGTCGGAGGAAAAACTTCCTGGGTCCTAGTGGGTCAGGGATATGTAGTCAGTGATGTGCTCAGAGTAGTCGAGGCAAGCTAGAATCTCATCTAAATGCTGACACTTGTTGCGAGTTTAGCAGTTTAGCATGAAGGCAGAAAGCTGGTTGGCCTGTGCCGGCCGGAAACTGCGAATACACCCCACAAAGAGCGCCGCAACTGAGCCGCGCGTGCGGCAGTCAAAGTTCGCTACAGTATGGCTCAGAGTGCACATGTAATTTGACTTCTCAGAGCGCAACCTCCACAGCGACGAATGCGCGCGTAATCACGAAATATACTACATTACTACATAATTGCAGTCGCTCTACACGGAAGCTGCCATGTTGCTACCTGCCTTTGAATGACACTGCTACTGAGTGAAACTAGTAACTAGTGCCAATCTTGCAGCATCCACTGCGTTAAGGTACAGGCGGGCCCACCTTATCAAATCATGCAACCACCTGCTATGGCAGCTATGGGGGTGGGCCCTTATCGCCTTTGCATCAATCATGTCAGTTTGCCGTGCCGGGGTGGAGGGGGGTTCCCCGATTTTAACTACTGCAGAAGGACCGGATAAGGGCCCCGACTGCGTTTTCACCTGGTTGCTTACTACCAGTCGTCGTAAGCCATTACGGACTCCTGCTCAGGATGAGTAAGCCAACCGTGCGGCCGTGGATCTGAAGCAGCTGGCTGAGGAAGTCTTTGCCCTCTGCAGATACGTGGCCCCAGCAAGGCGCCTTAGAGGGAGCATTCCGCGCAGAGTACAGCGCCAAGACTACACCGCAGGAAGACAACGAGGCTTGTGGAATAGGTGCGGCCATAGCCGCATCGAAGGTATAGTTGACCTTCCTGATGTTTCTTGCCACCTGTTTTGCGGTGTCAGCGTCCTCGGCAGATCATGATCTTGGCCCGCTTGGCCCAGGAGTTGTGAAATTGTTTGTTCAACCAACCAGGCACCATCTATTGCACAGCAAACGTACGACTGGTCCAAGGCAAGCTGCAAAAGGGCTTATTCCGCTCAGTGTGAGATACCTTTGCCAGAGCACCGTGAGGCAGTTGATGCAAGACTCATCGTCTCGTTGAGGCTGCACACGTGATGCAGACTGTGACACAGGACAGCCTCGTCTGATTGCACCGGGCCACGCCACGACGCCGTAGCTCCAAAGATCGCAGAAGGGCGGCTGATACCCTTTGGACAGGATCTCCTTATCTTCGAAGAGCTACAAAAAGCTTTTGTGTACTCCTTGGGTAAAGCCTATCGTTGGATGCAGTGCTTTCACTGGGGCAAAGGATGTTCCTGATTCTTGACATGTCTTGAAGAACTATATAAAGGGTCAGGAACGGGCTCATGCTGTGGAGTGCATGACTTGTCGCCTGGATGATTGTCAGACGTTGCTGCTCTCCAAGTCTCTGGTGCTACGTACATCACAGTTCCTGCACCAGCGGAGTCAGGGAAGAATCTGAGCACAATGTACCCCCCACCATTGGTCTCCAATCTGCTGCCCCCCCCACCCAGTCAGTCTGCAACATGAGCTCCCGCGCCTGGCGAATCGTGGAACATCTGGCCATCATCGAAGCGACAGGCCAAACCAAAGTCTATAATTTTCCTTGGCCATCAACAAAGTGAAACAGCATTAAGCGTGAATGCTTTTGCACACCTCTGTAATGGAATCGACAGCCTCTCCACACGTCAAGAAAGGAAGGATAAACAAGGTCCCGCTGGCAATGGCACTTGCTCCAGAGGCCCTGGACGGGCGAAGAGAAAGTGTTCTGGCTTCAGGTCCCTGTGGCAGACGTGCTGTTGATGCCTTGGCTGACAGTTTTGTTTTGGATGAAGGGAAAGATGAACGCACATGCCGCATGCCGTTTTAGCATATCGCTCTACTCACCCGTTGCGCCCATCTCAAAAGTCTTTGTCTAAACATGCCGGGCTGCAGGAACGCCAAAGGATCACAAATCCTTGGTTCCCGGAAGCCAGCGACAGGTGGCGTTCTATGCTGCTGAACTTGCGGTGCAACTGCTGGTATCGTGCATGGAGAAGCCAAACCTGGGAGCCCCTGCAACGGTTTGCACCTGCTTAACCTGGATAGTCATAGAGACCACCAACCGAGGGGCTGCTTCATCAGGATCGAGGCGAGCCTCTCTGTGAGGTATCCGGCTTCGGCGACCTACGAGCGGGGCACTTCTCTGCATCTGCTACACAACGCGAAGGCGGCACCAGCCCCGACCAAAGCTTCGCCGATCCAGTTGCAAAGGCTGCAAGCTTTCTGTGTGATGCTTTCGGACTTTAAATCTTCTGGCCTCCCTTCCAGTCCGACAAAATTAGTGAAAGATCCTGTGAAGCGACCAAGCCAGGTGAGTTTGCAGATATGCTTGCCATGTTGGCTGAGGCATGCCCCTTGTCTGATTGCCGCAGCTTTCTGGATCAGACCACGCGTTGCAGACCTTGTCGAGCAGCTCTCCTCCGGAACAGACCTGTCAGAACACGAGATTTGAAGACCACAGAACATTTCAGCCTCCGTTGTACTCTCCAAGATCCTCAGCAAAAGCGAGGCATTCTCAATTCGCAGACCACTTCTTGCAGCGCATCAGCGGGTATCACACATTCAACCTGCCTTTGCTGACCTCTCTGTTTAGCCCTGCAGATGCTAGGGCCCTCTGCTTACTCCGGGAGCTTCAAACACAAAGCACAGTCCAGGGCATTCCAGGGCTGGTCACAACTTGAGTCACAACTCCTGTTTTGTCATCTGCGCACACACACACAGAGTTTCAACGGAGGCCTCCACAACGAGGTGCCAGGCACTCTCATCAAAGAACCAACTCAACAGCTCCTCGAAGCTGAACAAGACTCTGCTGAAAGGGGGTCGTGCGTCTTCACATGTCTGACTTCACTCACTTCGGTCTCAAGACTCGGCCCAGGCTGTGATCGAAGCGCAGCAAGCACCCATAGCTCCCAATCAAGTCAAAACAGATTCTGTCAGAATTTACAGAACGTGGAAAGCCTACAGTCAGCCAGGGCAGCCAGGGCTCGATGACGTTTGGGTGTCGCACGGTCCTAGTGTGATGAACAGCGTGCCGGAACGGAGGTCAGAAGTCTTGTGCAGCCAACACCCTAGTCATTTTTGCAAAGGCGCTCAAGCATGCTCTTCTCAGTCTCAAAAGCCTCTCGCCTAAGCTGCATCACAACAAGACTGAAGCTGTTGGCCGTGCCGTGATTCTCCGCAAGCAACGCTTACGACACAGAACTGCCGGATATCTCTGATCACTTGCCACGCCACGTCCCGATGTCCTGGCTCTCGCTGGATCTCTTGAAGATCTTGACCTTGCATGCTGCTTGTGATCGCAATGCACTGGGAGCAAAGGACGCCTTGACAGATCACAAGATCCAGAAGAATCCAAGCTTGACGAGCGAGCTTCAAGTTTGTTTACAGCGACCGTGATCGACACGAGCATCCACGGTTGCTCGTTCAACTGCAGAGCTTGAAACCTGGATCGAAGGATCCAGGAAGTTCTCAGGCTGCTTGGTCCAAGAAGCGGCCGCTTGATCGCCCGTCTTTTTGCAGCTTCCCAAGTACACCGTGCCTGGGCTGCAAACGTGGCTCGCCTATGTGTCAGGCTTCCTGTGTGAGGGATGTGGTCCTAGCTTGGCCGACTTGTCATTGGCGCTTCATCGCTCTGCTGTTGAGCAACCACTCTAGTTCGCTCGGCTTCACTCGCCTGCTTGCTGTTGACATGGTGCTGCACACGAGTGACCCTAAACTTTCCTGGGCACGCACTTGCTGAATCGCACTGGCTCCAAGCTCTTTTTGCAGGCAGTCGCGAGCTTGGGGCGAGCAAGAAGGCTTACATAACATACACAGGTTAACGAACAATTTGGGTTTACAGTTGTGATCAGTTGGGGCTGCTAGAGGTGAAGCCTTCCATGAATCCCCGGCAGGATTACCAACTCACTACAGTTCTCGCCACTCCTATCTGCAGTAAAATCATATTTCTTTTCATAACAGAGACCGACGTACAGGAAAAGAAACATGCAAACGCAAACCTGTCCGAAGTGGTGTTTTTTGAGGTTACTGGCCGCAGGGTACAACTGCGCTGAAACGGCCGAAGCGGCAAAAGGCACCGCTGCCCAGTGCCGTGTCGAGCTGGTAAAAGTCCTCTGACTGAAGAGCTCAAGCTGTCAGACCGCTGGGTTGGAGGATGCATGAGGATGCATAGGATGTTTGATCATCTTCGGTTGCAGAGAATGTTTGGTGCAGATGCGGCCAGCCTCGATTCTGTTCGACTGGAGCCGCTTGCAGAGGCCCTCCCAGCATCGCAGCGGCCAGCCGGTCATGGCCAAGGGTTGTCAGCGCGGGTTTGGGGTTCGGGGCCCTGATGGGCCCTGGCCTGTGGATCTGTCACTGGGCAGAGCTATGGTGATCGTGGAGTGGGCTGCGGCTCGGGGCTGCGTGGGGGAGCTGAGAGGGCGGCTGGCTATCCTTTGTAAATTGATTAAATTGATCCCACTCAGGCGCCACAAGCTGCCACACACCGGCAAAGCCATCCAGTTCTGTCCAACTTTTGCCGAGGTTTCGACAGTGACAGCAAGCCGACGGGCAACTTCGCTACACGGCTGGGGGCCGGGCGCGCAGAGCGTCTGTACGCACGTTGGGCCCTGCAGCTTGACTTGATAAGGTCTGCGAATGCTTGTGGGAAAACTGTTGGTTCAAGGTGATGCTACGGGCGGCATGGCAGATATGTCCAGTTGCGACCCTCACAGCCGAAGATCCAGCTCTGGGTTGGAAGTGGCCGAGCGAGCGGCTTTTGTGAGATGCTGCACGCTTGCCTCAGCTTCTGTTTCCACTTGGCAAGACAACCGCACGGGTAGCTTCGCGCATGACCGACTCTTACTCAACACCTGCTTGCAGCAAAAGACAAGCAATGGAGTGCGTGCTCTTCCCAGCTAAACACCCTAGCAACTCAGCCAAAAAGCCATCCGCTGTTGAGCGGCGGCGCGCAGGGCAGCCTCGGTCTGCATGAGCCAACTTCCCTGTTGAGAGGCTTTTGAGAAGATTTGAGAAGCATGTTACTGCTGGCCTCGGCTGCCACCAAGGATGCAGAGGCGGAAGCGGTTGGGGCCTCGACCTGTGCACGGGGTGTGTCTCAAATCGAAAGGTGTCGTATTCATCCTTGTCCCTCCCTCTCCCCACCCGGTGCCTCTCGCGAAGGCCGCTGGTCCTCCAAGCTTCGAGAAATCAGAAAGAAAAGATGAGTCCATGATGAATCTCTAAAGCTGCCCCAATCTCAGGCACCTCTGTTCTCACATTCTCCGTCCGAGTAAAGTCCTGGTCGGTCCGTCCAAGCCGTCGGCCGAGCTCCAGGAACAACTCACCACGATATTGCTCTCGATCGTGGCCCCACATCATGTTTGGGGAACACAATGGGCGCTGCGGTTCTTTCGCTTGCGGTGGCTCTGCTGGTGCAGCTTCGGGCAACGCTTGCTCAGTTTGCTCGGCTTGGCTCGGTTGACTCTGGTCGTCTGAGTGCAGGGGTTCGGTTGCTGCATCAATTTCTGTCAAGTCGGAGCATCCGTCCTCGGGCGAAGCATCTGGCCTGACTTCTTTCTCGGGTGCCTCTACAAACTTCACCGGCACAGGCTGGAAACCACGAAGCGCCACGCGTGGCAACTCGACGGCCTCTTGACAGAGTGGCGGCTCCTGGCTCAGACTCCGGCAAAACTTCATGTGTTCGCTGGGCGATTCTGCAGGCGAGACATCACTTGAGGACTTTGCACAAATGACGTTTCATATATATATATATATATATACATACATACATACATACATACATGCATGCATGCATGCATGCATGCATACATACATATTGCATACATACATACACATGTTAGAAACATGAAATTCTGGCACGATCCAGGGGGCACAAATCATCCTACGTCTGGGAAACAAGGCTTCTCTACGGCACGGGCATGCGTCCTGCAGGGGAGTTTCCTTTCCATCATGGTCCTGCACTTCCAGCTCGGCCAGATTCGTTGACACTGTTCGGACCTCCTCTTCTTGGCTTTGTCTCGTGCTTGGCTCCTGCTCCAACACCTGAGTTTTGCACATTCCCTCCTCCTGGCTGTCTATGTCTTCCACCTTCTCTTGCTTCATATCAAGCTCCGCTTGGTTGCAATGCCCCTCTTTCGCACACGGTCCTGCCAGTCCTGCTGCATCTTCAGGCAAGTCCTCGCGTGATTGCTGCAAGGCCTCCTCATTTGTTTGCATTGATTGCTGCTGTGGAACCTCCTCGCTATTTCTGCCGTCTTGGTTCTCCTGGTCCTGCGCGACCTGCTCTGGGAGCTCATTTCGGTTCACCTCGTCACATCCGCTAGGTAGAAAGTCCTGTTGCTGCAATTGGCTCCCGTGCTGTTCGGCTTCTTTCTGCCGTAGCTCTTCCTGTTGCATTGCTGCCGCTCGTTTCTCCTTCTCCTCTTCTTGACGTCGGAGAGATTCCAGACGCTTCTCCAGCAACTCCTCTCTGCGCAACTTCTCTTCTGCTTCACGCTGCAATCGCTGCAGCTCTGCCAGCCGCTGCCGCTCGGCCTCCTGCCGGACCGCCTCCTGGCGCCGCTCCTCCAAAGCTGCAGCTGCAAGTCGACGCATTTCCTGACAATTGTCGTGCCATCTGCCGACGCCCGTCGAAAAGCATCTGGCGCATGCCATTACATTAACACAGCTATGAACACCTCCTATGACTCCTATCCGACATCCCAGAAACTTGGTGGGCTGCATTTTCCGGATAGGCTTCGTCCATGCTTTGGAGGCAGGGCCGGGCTGCAGTGGACTTCGCCATCCACGGGTTCATTCCATTTTGCTCGTAACATGTTGTGTGAAAAGTGTGGTTTACTTTCAAACTGGCCAATCAGCACGGCATGCAGGGCACCCCTCCTTACGGAGCTAGCGAATCAGTCGTCATCGGATTCGGCGGGGTGGTTGCATCCTCGCACCCCTTTCCACGCGTTAGCGTTTCTTGCCCTCTCGACTTGCTACGAAACACCCTACCGTCTTTGATTGACTCTTTGCAGCGACCTAGTGCTTGCACCCGTCACACTAGTGTGACAGAGCTGCACCGGACTGTGGCTCGCTCCGGGGATCGGGATCTCGCAGTCCGATCACCACGGAGGTTGGGTACTGACGGCATTTGACGGCTTGACCCGATTAACTGATTGAGCTTTCTGCAAAAAACTGTAAAGGACCGCCGAAAATGTCGCGCCGCACACACAATCTCGCAAGAATCTTTACCATGCCTCCTGCTGGAGCCGTTGTGTTTCCAAGCGCTCTTGCTCGGCAAGCAGCTGCTGCCGTTGACTTTGTATTTGCACTTGGGCCTCCTGCGACCAATCCACATATGCAAGCAAGCACATCATGTTGAAGCATGACCTGAATATGGTGCTGCGGAAACTGTGCTGCCAGGTCCTTACTTTCAAGCGTTTTTTGTGAGATGTTCCTTAGCTTGTTGACTCGACATGCTTCCGCAGGTCCCTGCCTTGCACGCAAACAAACCGTCAAGGAACCTGTGGGTCAACACAATGCTGCCGAAAGCTTCTTCAACTCAACTTCTGCACGAATCTTGTTCGCATCGGCTTCCTTGAGTTCTTGGACTACCTGTCAATCCCACACATTGCTCGCCGGGGCTGTCGCAGGTTTGACAGGCTGGAACACGAAGGAACCCTCAATATCGCACCTCGTCCAACTTGCCAGTCGTGTCTTTCAATTCCTGACAACCACTTCAAAGGCAGCCGATCATGAGCATATTAAATGAGTACTGAGACTGTGGTGGTGCTTTGCAGGCACTGGTGTGGATCCCTTTGCTTCCGACAAACACATGCCAGCTACCACTCAACAACGTAGAAGAGCAAATGCCGACCCTCCGCAGGTGCGTAATTGAATGTGTTAGGCCTGACGCAAGTTGGCCACGCTCTTCTTGTTCACTTCGAGCTCTTCCTGGACATTGGTAGCAAGGGTGCTACAAGCACCACCATACCCTGACCAGTCCGAAGCCAACAATCTCTGGCCTGCCAGAGATGATCCTGAGTTAACACATGCCCGGTCTGCTGAGGCATTCCCAAAACCTGCCCAAGACTCCCTTGCGGTTCGAAGATTCCAACATTCACCAACTATATAACAACAAACATACACAGCCAGGAAATGCACCGTAACATGAGACACACATTACTGGATCCACATCATAGAATGGTGCTCTCCGACGTTGTCCAAGCGCTGCTAGGCTGCATTTCGCTGCAATGACAGCAGGTGACATCGAAGTTCGGCGGCCAACATGTTGGCATCCTGTCGATGATGAATGCGTGACGCGTCCAAACCTTACGCATTTTCCACTAAGGAAACTCTCTTTACTTAGTCATAGTCGACACCTCTTTGCTTGCATTCTGGGATGCTTATGCACTTTCCTGTCCATCTTCCCCCAATGCTCTGGCTGGATCAGGCCTTCGTGTGGCCTGCTTTGAGAACGCCAACCAGCACATCGAGAGCTTCATCAACCTTCCCGCACGACAAGGCACCAAATCTGCCATGACTGCACCATCGGCGTCTCAGGAGTCCAACTTGCAACATTTCCGGGCACCTGTTGCCAGTGATCAGCGCTCAATGGAACTGGGCGTTCGCGGCTTCCTTGTGCACCTTCCAACTACCATGCTTCAACCAGCGGTTCCATCAATATCCGTTTATGATGGACGTTTTGCAACCGTAGCCGAAGGTAGAAAAACGTGCCTGCACTTGCAACCCCCACATCCGATGCAGGCAAAGCCATGATGCGCGGCCTATGTGACTTGTGACTTATGTGTCTTGTTACACGTGCTGCTCTGATGTTATGCCGCCCCACACATGTTGACAAATGTCACGCTGCCCTGTGCGGTGTGTGAACAACCTGATGGCTTGGCTGTAGACATGCAGGCACATGGGCAAGGGCAGCTACAGTACCGCCTGCTGTGAGATTGCTGTGGGGCGTGAATTGGACAAGCAGGAAATTGGAAGCTTTCATGAAGCAGGGATAAGACGGTTTCGCCTGTCTCTTTTCCGATTCGTTGCTGACCAGCAGAACTGATGGGTTTTTAAAAGGCAAAAACACGTATCAAGTTGCCAAGATCATCGACACAGTCGGTTTGAGGACGAACTTCCTGAAAAACATTGCAGGGCACGAGCCAAAAGGCGTGTTAAAAACATACTAGTTTAGAAAACCTCTTTCGTGTTCAGGCGACCCCTGTGCTGGTCGCTCAAATCCAAGGCCAGGGCTGGCAAGAGGGGGGAAGCCGGTCATTGAGCGGAGGAGGATCTCCATCCACATTCGCTGCACCAAAGGCGAGCAGGGCGGACCACCGAACAAATAAACCGAGATGCATGCACTCCGCAATGGTGGGGTGCAGACGGGCAAAGAGCCGCAGGAAAGGAGCACCTTTAGCGAACCACCTGCCGCCGGTTTCTATGCCAAGCACGACGAGGCGGCAGCGCCCGGACTTGCAGAGTTCTGGATAAGTGCGGGGCATGTCTTTTTCTTGACCCCTCATATTCTTTTGTGACCCCCGATCGTTTTATTGACCCCTGGACATCTGCATTCTGACCCCGTAACCAATTCCTTCTGACCCCTGCATCTTTAGTTTGACCCCCACTGTCTTGATGTCGACCCTCCTGTAGCCGCACGGGTTCGCTTCATTAAAAGAAAGCCATCGGACGTGCTCGCATGATCGCACAGGCTTTATCGGACGATTTCGCATGATTCGCACAGGTTCGCATGCTGGGATGTCCCTATATAATTCTTCCAGGCATTCGCATGGGTTCGCTTCATTCGCACAGGCTCGCATGCAGGGATGTCCATGGACGGTGATGGCTGGGTTAGGTAGGTTCGAAGGGCCTTCGCCGGACAGGGGCTTTCTGCAGGGCTGAAAGGTTTCGAAAGGACAATGCTCGAATAAGGAATGTCCGGGTTGGGGGGCGCGCAGCCTCTTTTTCTAGGCAATCGAACGGGTTCACATGATTCGCACACACCATTACTTGGAGTAGGTTGACGCGGCTTCGCAGTTCCGGGGGACACAGGCCCCCCGTCCCCATTTGCAAGCACAGTGCTCGAACACGGATTGTGGGGGTGGGAAGCCTCTTCTTCCAGGCATTCGCGCTGGTTCGCCTCATTCGCACAAGCTTGCATGATGGGATGTCCATGGATGGTACGTGATGGCACACCATTCTTTGGGGTCGCTTCGCGTTCCTTCGGGCATAACTGGGGCGGAATTGCAAGCCCCCTGAAAGCGTTGGGGGGCGCGCAGCCCAGTCTTCCACAGGTTCGCTTCACTCACACAGGCTTGCACCATGGGGTGTCCGTGAACGGTGATGACACAGCATGGGTATCGGGTACGTACGTATATAGGTTCGCGCGCGGCGGAAAGAGGTTTTCTGCGGGGGCATATCCCCTCCGGCTTTGCAAGCCCGCTGAAAGGCTTCGAAGGGACAACGCTCGAACCAGGAATGTCCGGGTTGGGGGGCACGCAGCCTCCTTGTCCAGGCAATCGGACGGGCTCGCGAAGCTGTGGCGGGATGTCCAGGCATGGGTGGTGATGTACACCATAGGCTGGCGCGGCTTCGCAGTTCCGGCGGGCGCATCCCCCTTTTTAGATTTACCAGCACAGTGCTCGAATAAGGATTGCGGGGGTTGGTGGGTGGGCAGCCTCCTATTCTTCCAGGCATTCACACTGGTTCCGCTTCATTCGCACAGGCTTGCATGATGTGATGTCCATGGATGGTCATGACACGCCGTTCTTTGGGGTCGCGTCGCGTCCTCCGGGGTTAACATGCGGGGGACTTGCAAACCCGCTGAAAGGGTTGGGGAGCGCGCAGCCCCAACTTCCGGGCATTCGCACGGGTTCGCTTCAGCGGGGGAACGAAGCGCACAGTGTGCCTCAACAATGACGATACCCTTCCAGGCAGGTTTGCACGGGTTCGCAGCCCCCGGCCCCATTTGCAACCAAATGTACTCGATAAAATGGCATCTTGGGAAAGAGTTTCGTTTGCGACCAAAAGCACGTAAACTGCAGGGAAGCAGGCCAGAGGAGCAGTAGAACCAGATGCAAAAACCCCCTCCACAAATTTCAACCACATTCTCGTATGACTGGGCTCTTGGAGGGCCCACTCCCCTTTTACATTTGCAATCACAGTGCTCGAATACGGATTGTGGGGATTGGTGCATGGGCAGCCTCTTCTTCCAGGCATTCGCACTGGCTCATTCGCTTCACTCGCACATGTGGTGCTTTCGTGCGGCTGGCTTACTTCCGAGATGCTTGCGATTTGCATGCTGAATCCTGACATGCGTCCCGTAGCCCTGTTATTCTGAAACTTCTCTAGTTCCTTTCGAGCGGTTTGCTCCTTGTTTTCAACTTCACTTCTATCGTCTCTGTCAAAATCCTCTAGTCTTTTTGCAGCGTTTCGGGCGGCTTGCTACTTTTTATGAAATTCTCTAGTTCCTTTCGAGCAATTTGTTCCTTGTTTTCAACTTCTCTAGTCTCTTTCGAAATCCTCTAGTCTATTTCGAGCGGTTTGCTCCTTGTCTTCACCTTCTCTAGTCTCTTTCGAAATCCTCTAGTGTCTTTCGAGCGGTTTGC